AGCAAGGAAGTGCTCAAAGACTAATGTATTTGCATAAAAAAGAACATAGGAGCCAGTCTGAAGAGCTTCCCGCTGGCCAAATTTAGGACAATATGAGCATCAAAAAGAATAATAATGGTAATGGTTTATAACAATGAATTTTTTTTAAGTCCATAGTGATACTCAAATACCTAAATAAGTAAAAGAAGGGAAGGGGGAAACATTTGTCTTTACAGAAGAATGCCAATTAATAAGTTTAGAAATTATGATAGAATTAGAAAATCACCACTTTGTAACCTCCTGTGTCATAGCTGCTTCTGGCAATGATTATCAATGGATGCTCAAACCATTAGAAGAAAGATTGTTGGGAAACAGGTTATTCGTAGGGCCGGCCCCGTGGCTTAGCGATTAAGTGTGTGCGCTCCGCTGCTGGCGGCCCGGGTTCGGATCCCGGGCGCGCATCCCGGGTGCGCACCGATGCACCACTTCTCTGGCCGTGCTGAGGCCGCGTCCCACATACAGCAACTAGAAGGATGTGCAGCTGTGACATACAACTATCTACTGGGGCTTTGGGGAAAATAAATAAATAAAAATTATAAAAAAAAAAAACAGGTTATTTGCATGGTCTCAAAGTATGGCCGCATAGATTACTTATTAAGTACAAGAGGAAAGGTATTTTTATATTGGAGAAATCCAGCAGTCACCACTTTAACCAAGTGACCCCAGTAGTGGGGACTACTTGACATTATGACTCTCCTGATTTGAAACAAGAAGTATATAGATTTAACTACGTACTAATATTCTTGACACAAATTGTTTAATCTGAATCTAATCATAAAGAAATAAGGAGACAAAACTAGGATATAAAACATTTTCCTGGTCTTGAGTCTTCAAAAAATTAGTTATGAAAAACAAAAATATTATAAGACTATCTCAAAAGAGACTAAAGAGAAGTAATAACTAAATGCAGGACATTAGAACCTTGGTCCTGGATGAGGTTGGGTAAGAAAAAGATATAAAAAACATTTTAGGGGGCTGGCCCCGTGGCTTAGCGGTTGGGTGCGAGCGCTCTGCTGCTGGCGGCCCTGGTTCGGATCCCGGGCGCGCACCGACGCACAGCACCGCGTCTCCGGCCATGCTGAGGCCACGTCCCACATACAGCAACTAGAAGGATGTGGAACTATGACGTACAACTATCTACTGGGGCTTTGGGAAAAAAAAAAAGAGTAGAATAAAATTATCCTTTAAAAAAAAAAAAGACATTTTAGGAATAATGGAGAAAATTTAAATGATATTTGAATTAGTGTTAATTTTTTTAGGTGTGATAATGATATTGTGATATAAGATATAGGAGAATGTCCTTATTCTTAGCAGAGGTCTGCTGAAATACTTAGAGGTGAACTTCCATGATGACTGCACTTACTTTTAAATGGTTCAGGAAAAAATGTGTATACATGAATGTGTGTGAGTTGTTAAGCTATTGTTTCTCAGTTCTAATCTTCTGTACTCTAGGCTGAGGCTGGGACTTGCTGCTTTGCCAACTGACTCCATAAGAGGCTTTACCTCTCTAGGGCTCTGGAAAGAGAAGACCAGGCTGGAAGAAGGAACTTGGTTCTTTCTGTCTGCTTCCTAATCAGAGTCCATATGCAGAGAATGAAGTTGGACCTTTACCTTACACCATATGCAAAAACTAACTCAAAATGGCTCAAAGACCTAAACTCAAGAACTAAAACTGTAAAAGTCTTAGAAGAAAACATGAGGCAAAAGCTTACGACATTGGATCTGGCAGTGATGTCTTGGATATGACACCAAAGACACAAGCAACAAAAGAAAAAATAGACAACTTGGACTGTATGAAAATTAAAACATTTCGTGTATCAAACAATATCAACAGAGTAAAAAGGCAACCCATAGAATGGGAGGAAATATTTGCAAATCGTATATCTGATAAAAGATTAATATCTAGACTATATAGAGAACTCCTAAGACTCAACAACAAAAAAACAAACAACCCAATTAGAAAATGGGCAAAGGACTTGAATAGACATTTCTCCAAAGAAGATATACAAATGGCCAATAAGCACATGAAAAGATGCTCTTAACATCATTAATCATTAGGGAAATGCAAATCAAAACTACAATAAGATACCACTTCACACTCATTAGAGTGGCCACTATCAAAAAAAACAGAAAATAACAAGTGTTGGCAAGGATGTGGAGAAACTGGAGCCCTTGTGCACTGGTGGTGGGAATGTAAAATGGTACAGCCACTATGGAAACCAGTATGGTGGTTCCTCAAAAAATTAAAAATAGAATTACTATATGATCCGGCAATCTCACTCCTGGGTTTATACCCAAAAGAATTGAAAATTAAACAGATATTTGCATAACAATGTTCATAGCAGTATTATTAACAATAGCCAAAAGTGGAAACAACCCATATGTCCATTGACAGATGAATGGATAAACAAAATGTGGTATATATATAAATGGGATATTATTCAGCTATGAAAAGGAATGAAATTCTGGTGCATGCTATAATATAGATGAACCTTGGAAACATTATGCTAAGTGAAATAAGCCAGACATAAAAGGACAAATATTGTATGATTCCATTTATATGAAGTACCTAGAACAGACAAATTCATAGAAACAGAAAGTAGAATAGAGGTTACTAGGGGCTGTGGAGAAGGAGGAATGAAGAGTTATCATTTAATAAGTACAGAGTTCTAGTTTGGGATGGTGAAAAAGTTCTGGAAATGGATAGTGATTGCACAATATTGTGAATGTACTTAATTCCACTGAACTGTGTACCTAAAAATGGTTAAAGTGATAAATTTTGTATATATTACCACAATAAAAAAATTAATTAGAAAAATTGTCCCATCTCACTTCCTCAAGTTTTTTTTCATAAAATTCCAGAAGAAAATTTGAAATATTAAAAAAAAAAAGACACAATATCCATTTGCTTTTCAAAACTTTAAATTAATTACTAAGTGAAACTTGGTGCCCGAAGAAAAGAATGAATTAATTGCAGCTTAGTTCTTAATTACACTGAAGAACAATTACAAAACATTGAGTTTATCATCATTTTGGGTTAAGATTAAAGAATATCCATTGTGGGCCAGCCCCGTGGCTTAGCGGTTAAGTGCGCGTGCTCCACTGCTGGCGGCCCGGGTTCGGATCCCTGGCGCGCACCGACGCACGCTTCTCCGGCCATGCTGAGGATGCGTCCACATACAGCAACTAGAAGGATGTGCAGCTATGACATACAACTATCTACTAGGGCTTTGGGGAAAAATAAATAAATAAAAATTATAAAGAATATCCATTGTTAGGCAAGAAGAGTTTTGCTATTACTGTTCACCACAACCTTTATGTTTAAATAGGATTTTCAGGTTTAACCTAATTTGAAATAACACAGGGGCCAGCCCGGTGGCATAGTGGTTAAGTTTGGCCGCTCTGCTTTGGCAGCCCCCAGGGTCCCTGGGTTTGGATCCTGGGCACGGACCTACGCACTGCTCATCAAACTATGCTGTGGCAGCATCTTATATACAAAATAGAGGAAGATGGGCACAGGTGTTAGCTCAGGGCTAATCTTCCTCAGCAAAAAGAGGAAGATTGGCAACAGATGTGAGCTCAGGGCCGATCTTTCTCACCAAGAAAGAAAAAAACCCACAAAAATAAACAGAACAAAGAACAAGCTCTATGGTGCACCAGGTACGCATGGGCAATTGTCCTCATATTTTCTGGACTGGAATAAATTTGGAACAGGCAAGCACACCTTTTGAATTAAAATCTTTCCTAATTTTTCTTTTTGTGTTATTTTGAGATTTTTTTTCTGTATTGTATTTAAATATTAATAAAATTATATTTGATATTAACTTACACATAGCAAAGATAAATAATGTTTTGTGAAATTTCAATATATGCATACACAGATGCATTATACTGAATCAAAATGTAAAAGGTATTTCTTGTTGTGGGTCTTTGTAAACAAAAATTTGAAAAATACTTTTCTAAACATGCTACAGTTTTTATTTTGATTTCCTCTTTTACCCAAGAGTTGCTTAAGAGAGTTTTTAGTTTCCGTGGTATTCATATTTTGCTTCATTGCACTGTGGTCAAAATGTATAGTCTAGGTTATTCTCTGCTATTTCTTCTTATTGGAAAAAAGGTGTATTCTCTATTGCCAGTGTGTGTGTATTTTGTGTATTTATATATTAGATCAACCTTATTAATTTTATTATATAGAGCATTTGTATACAGCCATGCATAACAACATTTCAGTCAATGACAGACCCCATGTATGACAGTGGTCTTGTAAGATTAGTACCATATAGCCTAGGTGTGTAGTAGGCTATACCATCTAGGTTTGTGTAAGTACACTCTATGGTGTTTGCACAACAATGAAATCACCCTGTGACGCATTTCTCAGAATGTATCCCCATCATTAGGCAAAACATGACTGTACTTTTTTAAACTTTTCAGGTTGAAATAATTTCAGATTTACTTGCAAAAAATAGCACCAAGAATTGCTGTGTAATACCCTGCTTTTAGATTCCCCAAATAGTAACATTTCACTACATTTACTTTATGATTCATTCTCTCTCATTCTCTCTGTTTCTCGCACTCTGTTGCCTTCTCTCTCCACCTCTCTCTCTGTTCTCTGTCAGCCTCTTGTCAGTGGAGAATATGCTTTGGTGCAAAGACTCGATGTATTATGTTCTCCACAGCCAAGCTTCTATATCATGTATTATCCAAGAAATGGTTCATTGGCCAGGAATTACGAGATAAAGAATAAAAAATTAGCACTGTGTCCTCTAGATAGAAATTCCGGTCCCTGTGTCTCAAGACCACAAGATTTCCCCCCTCCACAGCCACTTTACATAATAACGTACAACCTCATGTGTCCAGTGTTTTGCCGGCACTCACTCCTGTTTCAGGTGCAATGGTTAGGAGCTTTCCTTGAAATAACAATGCTTTTTTTTTTTCATTTCTTTCTTTCTTTCTTCATGAAGACCTGAGGATGAGATGTTTTTAAAAAGGCTGTCTAGAGGTTACCTTGTGGGAAAGGACCCCAACGCTCCGCTTTTCTACAGAGAAGAAGGAAACAAAAAATTTCAGGAGAAGGATTATATGGGAGCCACAGTGCTGTATTCTAAGGTGAGACACTCCCAGCTCAGCAGGAGGGACTTTCTCAACAATTTAACAATGCGTATTTCTTGTATTTCTCCGAAAGATAGAGCCATGGTGCTGAACTAAGTAGCCAGTGGCAGCTTTGTCTGTAATTTGTAGATTGGATTTGAAAAAGACAACTGGCAGAATTCTGGTGTTGGGTATATTCTGAAACAAAGGGTACTTTGTATTATATGTCCTGAATTCCATCAGGAAACCTCTATTCCCATATTCCTTCAGATACCTTGTAGCAATAGGCTTATTGGACCCCTTGCCCTGCCTTGCCCATTTCTGTCAGCTCTCCGTGAATTGTGTGCCTTTTTTGTCTGAATGACTGATGAGGGGTTAGTTTGATAGTCATAATTTAGAGAACAGCTGGACTTTTGGTTAGCCACAGCATTAGCTTACAATCAGTTTGACTTAAGTTAGAAAGGAAAATAAACTTAATTGCCACAGCCCAATTGAACTCCATGTTGAAGGTTGTCAACAAATATTTAAATTACACTAACCATCAGTGAGCTAGATTTTGAGGAGGAATTGTGGGTTTTAACAATCTGTTGCTCTTACTGTTCTGCTTCCATAGTAGGAACTGGAACAAGAGAGACTTCCTTCCATGACTTTTTAGAGATAAATATGGGCCTAAAGCAAGAATGTATCAATCCCTTGCACCAGGTCTGTGACCTTGTGTATTAAAAGAATGAGTGTGAATTTGAAGGGGGTACCCCTACTCTGAATCTTTAACAGGCCTACGCTTCAAGTTTGGAATTAGTTTTCCAACAACTATCAGACCTACAGCAGCTGCTTCTATAATTGATAAAAGCCCTGTTTTGTAACGTTATAACAAAATATTTAGCTGAATAATGTTAGTGATTGCTGAAGAATTAAAATCCCTTAGATAAAATGATCCACTGATAAATGGCTTAATAGTTCTTTTTCAGAGCTAATCTCTTAAACTTTATGCATGTGCATCATAAATGTGATCATGTAGGAAGATGTTTGATGAAAACAAGTAAAATAAAAAGTGAAATCAGACAAAAAATTCAGATTTGCCCTAGGAGGGAGATGAGGCTTCCTATTTCATGAGGCTAGTATTTTGGTGATTATGGTACTTTGCGATTTTCTGTAAAGCCGCTATGTTCTTTTTTTTTTAAATAATACTTGTTATTTTTGTCTGATTGTAAATGTAATATATGTTTACATGGAAAATATAAAGACGCATAAAGAGTAAAAGAAATCTCATAACCAGTGATAGGCCCTGTTAACGTTTTTGCTCATATCCATCCAGCTACTTCTTCCTCTGAAAATGTGTTTTTCTTTTACAAAATTGAGATAATGCTGTACTTACTGTTTTGCAACTGGCTTTTTTCCCTCAACGATTTATTGTGACCATTTTCTCATGTTATTAAATTTTCCACTGGAACATGATTTTTCACAGCTGGCTTAGTGTTCCATTACAGAGAACTATACTTGATTTAACATCTCCTGATGTTGGCAGATTGTTTGGTATCATAAAGCTACAGGAGCATCTTTCCGTGTAAATATTTATGCACATCTGATTATTTCCTTAGGATAAATTCCTAGAAGGGCAATTTCTGGGTCAATTGAATGTATTTTTTTAAGGCCTTTGGTACTTGATGCTGAATTGTTCTCCAGGAAGGAACTAGTTAACATCCTTCTAGCAGAGTATGGGAATGTTTATTTCTCTATATCCTAAGTGATACTGGTTATTAGGGTTTTAATATTATTATGATTTTAGCTATTTATTTATTTATTTATTTTTGTGAGGAGGATCGGCCCTGAGCTAACATCTGCCAATCCTCCTCTTTTTGCTGAGGAAGACTGGCCCTGGGCTAACATCCATGCCCATATTCCTCCACTTTCTATGGGATGCCACCACAGCATGGCTCGCCAAGCAGTGCATCCATGCGCGCCCGGGATCCGAACCGGTGAACCCCGGGCCGCCACAGCAGAGTGCACGAACTTAACCGCTTGCGCCACCAGGCTGGCCCCGTAGCTATTTATTTTTGAATAGGAAATGTGTTTACATGGTTAGAAGTCAAAAGTATACAGTGTAGTGTATTTCCTCTGTCCCCTAGCCACCTCATTTCCCACTCCGGCAAACACACGCTCTTTTTATATCAATAACATTTTATACACAGTGTTCAGCAGTGCACTCTTATCGAAACTCAATAATATCTTAAGATCATTCTTATATCAGTACATAAAGACTTTCCCCATTCCTTTTTTATGGCTATGTGGTATTCCATTATATGGATATAATAGTAATTTATTTAATTAGTGTTCTGTAGATCATATTTACGTTGTTTCCTGTCTTTTCCTATTTCAAACAATTCTGTGATGAGAAACTTTGCATATATGTTATTTTGCACATATCTATAGGATAAATGGTTATATATGTAGGATAAATTCCTAGAAGAGGAATTGTTGGGTCAATGGAGATATAGACATGTATATTAAAATATATATATATTGCTAAATTGCCCTCCATAATCATGAGACCAATTTACACTCTCCTAGCAACATATGAAAATGCCTATTAGCCCACTCATTTGCCATCTCAGTGTGCTATCAATTTCATTTTTCTTTGCCAATCTGATAGGTAAAAAATGGCATCTCAGTAGAGTTTAAATTTGCATTTTGCTGATCATGAATGAGGTTGAGCATCTTTTCATATGTTTAAGAGCCATTTGTATTTCCCATTAGAACTATTTATATCATTTGCTTATTTTCCTTTTGAATTATTGGTTGTCATTTTATTGATCTGTAGGAACTGTTCATAAAATAAAGAAATGAGCCTTTTGCCTATAACATGACTTGCTAATATTTTTTCCAGTTCAGTGTTTGTCTTTTGATATTGGTTTTTGCTATAAAGAAATTTTTTATTTTTATGTGGTCAAATTTATCAACCTTTTATGACTTTGGGGTTTTATGTCATAATTAGAAAGGTATTCGTCACTCCAACATCACTTTAGACTGTTCCTATAGTTTCTTTTAGTGCTCCTATAGTTTCATTTTTTGCATTAAGATTTTGATCCATTTGGAATTTCCTAATGAAAGGTTTATCATATATAGAGAACCAACGTTATTTTTCCTCAGTGGCCACCTACTTGTCCCAATACTTTTACTGAATAATCCCCATCTTTTCTCCAGTGATTTGAGATGCCACCTTTATGATTATTATTAATCCTTGCCAATTTGGTGGTAGAAAATGTAGCCCTTTTCTGCTTTCCTTTTCATATGTTTGGCTATCTATGTATGAATTAGCCATCTATTTCCCATATATCATTAGTGCACTTTTGTGAATTGTTATGTGCAGGATCACGCTCCTGTTTTCTTCTACCTTCGGGATTGTTTGTGGCTGAAGCTGTGTCTGATGCTGCTCTCTTCAGAGGGCTTTGAATATTTATTTCCTCACTTAATCCTCACAGCTTTACTCTAAAGTAGTTGAAAATGAAGCTGAAGTAGATGAAGCACATAGAGATCCAGTAACTTTCCCAATGTCATACAGTCTCTAGTAATAGAGTGCCTGTTAGCTGAAAAAAAATGCTTTGAAGATGCTAGTTTCTATTTATACCTTTAACGAGCTCCTTGTTCTGCAGGGAGTATCGCATTCAAGGCCTCACACTGAGGACACTTCACTGTGTTACGCCAATCGCTCTGCAGCCCTCTTCCACCTTGGTCAGCATGAAGTGAGTATCAGGATGCCTGGTGTGGTGGGAGATGATCTGTAGGGTTCAGTGGAGGACTGGACATTCGCCTCTGCTTCTACCTTAGAACACTAAAATTGGGCCATGCTGCAGTGGGTTGAATTGGAAGCAAAGTAATATCCTCCCCAACTTGTTCTTTCTCCTAATTCATTGTGGGGAAGTGTTGGTTGACAAGAAACAGTCACGACACGTTCCACGGGGCCATGGACTACGTCCAGTGGTCAGCAGTGCTCAGAGTTGAGATCAGCGGTGAGATATGTTACTAATAATACTTCAATAGTGTCTGAAAACTATTTACTTGTTTGTTTGTCTTTAATAAGTAGAGCATGTGCAAGATTATCCTGCAACAATGTAGCTCACCCTCAATATGCATTTTGAGGGAGAAAGTGAAAGTGACACTGAAGCGCCTGTGTGTGCCCATGATGGGGGGCTCGGATGAGTGGCTTTCTTCTCATCCCCTAATTGAGGTCTAAGGACAAGCTCTAAAGTGCCATTTTAGTACATCCATTTCGCAATTCCACAGAAATTTAAATTATACCCTAGAGTTAAGAACTGTTTGAATAGTCACAAGTTCACACTTATTGCCCTTTGAACTACGAGAGAAGAGCAAGAATCTAACTCTAGGCCCCAAGCAAGAAAGTCCTGGATGACTGAAGACAACAAGTAAAAAAACTTGTGACTATGTAACCCTTTATAACTTCCCTGTATTGGTTGTTTCTGTTTCCCTTCTTGTAATAATGATTCCCATATAGTGAGCACACGCTGTGTTCCAGGCTCTCTTTTCAGCATTTTAGATGTATTACCTTATTTTCATCTTATTTCAACACTGTGAGGTGTTATTATCCCTGTTTTTCGGATGAGGAAACTAAGACACTGAGAAATTCAGTCACTTGCACAAGGTCGTACAGCTTGTAAGAGGCAGAGTCAGTAATGGAGTGCGTGTCTGTTTGGCTTCAAAGGCTGCCCTCTTAATCACCAAACTATAATTCTTCTAGCTGTAGGACTTTTTTCCTTAAAAACAGAAATATTTAATAAGGTAAACATAATAACTTCAGCGTATATTTCTAATCACGCAGTTAAAAGGTCACGTGGTAGAATATGATTTAAAGAAAGAAGCACATGATTGTAGTGGCTCCATTTTTAATAATCCTTAACTTTCCTGTAGATTTTTGTTAAGTCTTTCAGTAGACATTGAAGAGTAGGGACCAAGGGTCATTTTGGGGTTTCCTTTCTGTTTTCAGACATGTCTTAAAGACATCGTCAGAGCCCAGATGCACGGGTACCCAGAAAGATTGCAGCCCAAGATGATGTTGCGTAAGGCAGAGTGTCTGGTGCTCCTGGGGAGACTGCAGGAAGCAAGTCAGACCATCAGTGATCTTGAAAGTAACTTCACTGCCAAACCAACCCTAGCAGCTTCCCAGTTTCAGATTCTGCAGAGAACCCTCTGTTGTCTGAAAATGAAGGTACAAGAAAAGGAGAATCTCACAGAAACCATCTCAGCAGCTCTAACCAAAGCCTTTGCGGATATGGACCTAAGGGAAGAAAATGAACAAATTTCCAGTGCATCATCATCTGTCAGCTTATGCACAGACCCTTTAAAAGGCCGCTATCTGATTGCCACAAAAGGTATTCTCCCAGGAGAGCTCCTGGTGAAGGAGGACGCTTTTGTGAGTGTCCTTAACCCAGGAGAAATGCCACCACTACATCATGGCCTAGAGAGCAAGTGGGATACCAGAGTTACCAATGGGGACTTTTACTGTCACCGATGTTTGAAGCACACTTTGGCTCCAGTTCCTTGTGATGGGTGCAGCTATGCCAAGTATTGCAGCCAAGAGTGCATGCAGCAGGCCTGGGATCTCTACCACAGTGTAGAGTGCTCTCTAGGGGGGCTGCTTCTCACACTGGGTGTCTTTTGCCACATTGCCCTGAGGTCGACTCTTTTAGCTAGATTTGAGGATGCTGGCAAAGTCATAAGGAATCTTTGTGGCGAGATTAGTAACAAGGACACCTGTTTACCTGAAAGCAAGAATCTGGTGCAAACACTCAGTTGTGACCTGGGAGGGGAGAGTGAGAAAAATGGCAAAACAGTTGAGAACCCGATTCCCGGGTGTGATATTAATGGAAAGTATGAAAGTAATTATTATGCTGTCTTCAACCTTTTGCCCCATACTGAAAACCATAGCCCAGAGCACAAATTCCTCTGTGCTCTGAGTGTTTCTGCACTGTGCAGGCAGCTCGAAGCAGCCAGTTCACAGGCCCTCACAACAGGTCCGACATCCTCTAAGCTGAAAGCAGCAGTGGCTCCTGCGTTGGGTCCAGAGTTGACTCTTTGGGGAGTGGCCATGCTGAGACACATGTTACAGCTGCAGTGTAATGCGCAGGCAATAACTACCATACAGCAAACAGGTAAGAGGGAAACTTTTTTTTCTGCCTTACAGTATTGTTCTTGATATAGCTAATGTTTGGGGAGAAAGAACTGTAGAGGAAAACAGTAGCGTTCAAACAAATCAGTGAGCTAATGGGAAAACACAGCTGTCTTGAATTGTCATGATTGTGCCATTGAGAAGCTGTGTGACCTTAACAAATTATTTGATCCCACTCTGCCTCAGTTTTCTCATCTGTGAAATGGGTAGTTTAAACCCACCTAAATTTACGGAGTTGTGAAGATGATGTGTTTGTAAAAATACTTTAACGTTAAAAACTCTATGGGCCGGCCCCGTGGCTTAGCGGTTAAGCGTGCGCACTCCGCTACTGGCGGCCCAGGTTCAGATCCCGGGCGCGCACCGACGCACCGCTTCTCCGGCCGTGCTGAGGCCGCGTCCCACATACAGCAACTAGAAGGACGTGCAGCTATGACATACAACTATCTACTGGGACTTTGGGGGGAAAATAAATAAATAAATAAAATCTTTAAAAAAAAATAAAATAAAATAAAAAAATAAATTTCCAGCAGAGGAGTCTGGCCCAGCACAGCTTTTCACACAATACTACTATAAGCTGTTGGCCAGCCTGTGCTTGGGCTGTCCTTTGGTCAGGTGGCCGGATAATCTAGGGGCCGCCTCTCGGAACAGACCAGCCTCAAGCTGCTCTCCTGAACCAGATCCTCTAGATAAGGCTGTTCCAGGCAGATGGAGAGGATGGATGTGCCCAGCATTGTCAGTGACGTCTCTAATATGACTGTACTGACAACAGATATTGTTATTAGAAAAGAAATAGCTTCCAGTATTTCTACTGTATTATCTCCATTTTAGCAGATAATGTCTTTCAATTCAATCAGTTCATTATACTTTTCTCAATTTTCTAATTAACTCGAGGGGAGAAATTAGGTATTAACTAAACCTAGGATGTATAGACAGATTAATATTAAATGTGGCTTAACTAAACCATACGTGCTTAGCTCTTCTGATCTTCTCACATTAGGTAATCTAGAATTTTATCAACCTTTTATTTGTACATTTTTATCTTTAGTTTTAATTCAGCTGCCAAGTTATATGGTGTATATTTGTTTCGCTAGAGGTGTCTTTGGGCAAGACTCTTCCCCATCCTGAAACACATGGAACATCCAGAAATAGCCTTGGCTTCATCCCGTGGTAGTAGAGAATCACATTGCAAGCTAGTCTCCGTTTTCTTCTCTGCCTTCTTTTGCTTTTTTGAGCCATTGCTACCTCTAAAATACATCTGTTGAGTGTTTTTCCAGAATTATGTTTTTCCTTAGGTACATTCACTGACATTTTAAAACATTGTTTTCATTTTGTGTTATTTTTCTGAATATAAAAAGTAGTATATGGGGCTGTCAGATTGTAATGGGAGAATGTTACCAACTCTTGATTCTGTTGTGTCTTGCCTCTAAAGTACTTAATAGAACATACAAAAAAGATACAAATGTCAGTAGCTCTGAAAACTATGGAAACTATTGTCCGGGTAAACAATAGCAGTGACCACTAACTCATGCTGAATCCCTGAGGCAGAATGGCAGAGCCATATGGAGAAAGAAGGTGTTTTCCATCCACCTGCCTCCACTGGCCTACCGCTTACAGTCAAAGAATCTTAGCCTAAATGTTTTTGCTCCATGTGCATGACATTTCATTACAGTCAGTTTTTTATTTGCATAGAGAGTTTTGGGTAAAATTTTTCGAAAGTTGTTAAGAGTGAATTTTTGGATAAGAGTATGTATAGCCAGGAAGACCTGTATTTGCTGTTGCTAATGAGGATTAGAGAAATAGATACGTAGCATAATACTGGCTATCAGAGGTGATGGAAAGAGGATTGGAGACTCTGGCTTCATCTATAAGGTTCTAATATTTTATACATAATTTATTCTCATTTATATGATGTTTTAAAAATATACACAGGAAAAAAACTAAAAACAAAAAAACTTAATGGTGATTAATTCTGAAAGTGGAAAGATGATTACTGTTTTCTTCTTTGAACTTTTCTATATTTTTTTAAAGACAATTATTCATACCTTGGTAATATTATTCTGGTAAGTTTAAAATGGGTTGTGTACCTTTCCCATCACTCTAGGGAAAAGATATTTAAAAAAAAAAAAAATAGTTCGGGGCCGGCCCAGTGGCTTAGTGGTTAAATTTGTGTGCTCTGATTTGGTGGCCCGGGGTTTGTAGTTTTGAATCCCGGGCTCGGACTGACACACGGCTCATCAAGCCATGCTGTGGCGGCAACCCACATACAAAATAGAGGAAGATGAGCACAGATGTTAGCTCAGGGCCAATCATCCTCACCAGAAAAAAAAAAAAATTCACAGAGCAAAAAGTAGGAAGATGATGAAAATGAGTCTATAATAGTAAATACAAATGGGCTAAAATCTATGAAACAAATCTTTCAAAAAGGGCCAAAAAAATTCAAATCCAATTGTATTCTGTTTATAAAAGTGACAGCTATAACAAAACAACACAATGTTTGGACAAAACATGTCAGAATCACAAGCACATCAGGGTATTAGTAATCATATGAAACAGTGAACTCAAGGTAAGACATCTAGAAAAACAGAGACAACATTTTATTTTTATAAAGGAGACTCTCCATGCTGAGATATATCATCAGCCTTAGCTCTCATAAACATAGAGATTGTGTCTATAAAACAAAATGGTTAAGTGTATAAGAAGAAACTGGCAAAAACCCCATAGTTGTGAGAAACTTTAATATACCTACCACTCTGACTCTGATTTAATATATTAAAAATAAGGATCTAGAAACCAAGATATAATAAACTAGGAGATTCAGTAATTATATCTATCAAAACTTGTGTACTATAGACCAGAGTTCAGCAAACTTTTTCTGTAAAGGGCCAGATAGCAAATATTTTGGGCTTTGCAGGCCATATGGTCTCTTTTGCAACTACTCAACAGCCATTGCAGCATGAAAGCAACCATAGACAATATCCAAACAAATGAGCATGGCTGGTTCCAATAAAACTTTATTGTGGGCACTGAAAATTGAATTTCTTATAATTTTTCACATCATGAGAATTATTCTTTTCATTTTTTTTCAACTGCTTAAAAATGTAAAAACCATGCTTAGACCCATCTGTACAAAAATAGGCAGCAGGCAGGATTTGGTCCACAGATTACAGTTTACAGACTCCTGATTCAAAGATTTGGCAAATCTAATTAAGAAATCTATTTAGGAAAAAACTCCACAAAATTAAGAACAATGAAGGCGATATAGCCAAAAATATAAATTCATTTAAAAATTTTAAACATGGGCCGGCCCCGTGGCTTGGCAGTTAAGTGCGTGCGCTCCGCTACTGGCGGCCTGGGTTCGGATCCCGGGCGCGCACCAACGCACCGCTTCTCCAGCCATGCTGCGGCCGTGTCCCACATACAGCCACTAGAAGGATGTGCAGCTATGACACAACTGTTTACTGGGGCTTTGGGGGAAAGAAAAGGAGGAGGATTGGCAATAGATGTTAGCTCAGAGCCGGTCTTCCTCAGCAAAAAGAGGAGGATTGTCATGGATGTTAGCTCAGGGCTGACCTTCCTCACAAAAAAATAAATAAATAAAAATTTTAAACAAATACTTAATACAATTTTAGACTATTGAATTTGAAAATATTAAGTAGACAACTTTGTAAAAAAATATAAATTGCCTAAATTTTCCCAGAAGGAGGAAAACACTTCAAAACTCCAGTAATTGTGGAGGAAATTGAAGAAGTTATCAAAATATTTCCATAAAAACAAGAAACACCCACTCTTTTCCATGTGAGTTCTTTAAATCTTAGGAACATATTTAGCCATGTTTTAAAAAAATAAAAAATATCTTTCAAGGAACAGATCGTTTTTATACAATATGAATTGTTCAGGGCATGGGAGAACCTAGAACCCTTTCCCACTCATTTTGCAAAGCCAAGAATAAAAACTAGAGAGCAGTCTCTTTTGTGAATATAGATGTAGAAACCCTGAATAAATCACTGCCATATCACATCCAGCAGTTTATTAAAGGAATAATAATATACGACCAAGTAGGGTTTCCTCCAGAAATGTAAGGATATTTTAATTTGTGGGGATATAAAAGAAGGCTTGGATAAATGCAGAGATATGCCATAGTCTTAGATGCAAAGACTGGAAACTATAAAAATGGCAGTTCCCCCACATTAGCCTAATTGGTGTAATGTAGTTTCAAACAGAATCACAATTGGATTTTTCTTGGAATTTAATAATGATTCTGAAGTTCATCTTGAATAAGTGGGTGAGAATAGCCATTTTGTTTTAAAGAATAGTGAAGGGGCTTGGTACTATCAGCATTAAGCTACAATAATTAAAAACATTATGGTACTGATATGATAGCCTCTCAAAAGTAATAGCTTCTGTCTTCAAATCATTACAAAGTTAAGTATTAAAAAAATTAAACCATAAAATAGAAAAAGGTAAGTGAACATTTATATAGTCTTAGGGTGAGAGAATCTTTCTAAAAATATATAATACCAAATTTAGGTAATTAAAAGATAGCTAGTGTGGGAGATCAAGATTTGGCCACCCTGAAATGTATCTCTTTACCTTGATTGTTTTCTCTGAGGGACATTTGACCTCCCCCACTAACTGCCTAAAGAATTTGACATGGTGGCTCCTTCCTGGAACAGATCTTCTGTCATGATGGCTGTAATGATAATGTAAAATAGATGTTACAATGGGAGGGGCACCCAAGCCCCTTTTATCAAAAAACTCTCTCTCTCCCTGACCACATTATCTATAGATGATCCTGAAAAGAATTGTCTTCTTGCCCTCTGAAGCCCCAGACCACTACCCACCCCCAACACCTTCCTCTCCTTTAGCTACAATACTTAAGCAAGCAGCTTAGACAGAGGGACGAGTTGCTCATTGCTGAGTTTCTCCCATGTATACGTGTTATTAAACTTGGTATTATTTTCTCCTGCTAACCTGTCTTGTTGATTATTTGGCCAGCCATAAGAACCTTAAGGGAAAGGGCAGAGGGGAATTCTCCCTCTCTCCCCCCACTAGATTTAACCTAAATACCAAATATCAAAAACACTATAACCAGTAAAGAAGACAGAGAAATGTAGGTGAAAAGGGTCCTTGAAGGAATGGAAACACTGGACTGGGAGACAGCAGACCTGAGTTCCCATTCCACTCACTCTCAGTATGGACTTGGTCAGGTTACCTAACCTCTGTGTGTTTCAGTATTCTCATATGGATCATGAGAGAACTGGATGAACCTCTAGACCACAACAATTTCTCCCATCCCTTTGTGTTTGCCCCTTTGTGACTTGACATTGCTTTTTCTACCAACAAGAGTTGGAGTCTCGTGGCTGGCCCAGTAGCATAGTGGTTAGGTTCCTGTACTCCACTTCGGTGGCCCAGCGTTCACAGGTTTGGATCCTGGGTGCAGACCTACACACTGCTTATGGAGCCATGCTATGATGGTGTCCCACATACAAAATAGAGGAAGATTGGCACAAATGTTAGCTCAGGGCCAATCTTCCTCACCAAAAAGAAAAAGAGTTGGAGTCTCTTTCCCCTGCCCTTGAATCTAGGCCAGCCCTATTACTTGCTCTGACCAGTAGAATGCAGTAGAAGTGACATTATGTCACTTTTGAGTCTAAGCCTTAAGAGATCTTGCAGCTTCTGTTGTCACCTCCTTTTTTTTTATGTGAGGAAGATCAGCCCTGAGCTAACATCCATGACAATCCTCCTCTTTTTGCTGAGGAAGACCGGCTCTGAGCTAACATCTATTGCCAATCCTCCTCCTTTTTCCCCCCCAAAGCCCCAGTAGATAGTTGTATGTCATAGTTGCACATCCTTCTAGTTGCTGTATGTGGGACGTGGCCTCAGCATGGCCGGAGAAGTGGTGCGTTGGTGCGCACCCGGGATCCGAACCCAGGCCGCCAGTAGCGTAACCGGGCTGGCCCCTGTCACCTTAAAACAATGGTGTGGCCTTGTGAACAAGCCTGGGCTAGCCTCCTTGAGGATAAAAGACCATGTGCCAGATGAATGCAATCACATGAGTAATCCCAGGCAAGACCAGCAGAAAAAACAGTCAGCTGAGCTCAGGCAAAGTTGCTGGCATGCAACATTATAAGCAAATGAATCAGTTGTTGTTTTAGCACTCCCCACCTCCAAAAACCCATAAGCAAAAATTAAAATGTGAATGACAAAATGAGAGAACATTTCTAGCAACTATACAACTCTTAAAATCAACTTGTGAAAATACGCATAGGGATGAAAATGTTCTAAAACTGGATTGTGATAATGGTTGCACAACTTATGTAAATTTCTTTAAAAAATCATTGAATTAGTACACTCAAAACAGGTGAATTTTATGATAGATAAATTACATCTCAATAAAGTTGTTAAAAATTATACATAAGCAAGCACTTGATTAAAGTAGTAATAAAGATCATATCTAACCTCTCTAGTAATTAAAACAAAATACTATTTTTTTACCTATCAGATTGGCAGAGTTGCTTTGTTTATTTTTTTTTTTAATTATAATATACATTTTAGGTTAGCGTGTAAAGAAATGGCCATGACATGTTATTTGAAAGAAGTAACTTACACATCACTGTGTGCACCATGTTGCCAATTATGTTAAAAATTCCATACATAAAGCTAGAAAGAAGACTGCAAGAAAATGCACCAAAATCTTATAGCTGGCTGATAGGATTATAGATGACTGTTATTTTTCTCTATAATTTTCAGTTTTTAAATTTTTCTATCATATAATCCTTTTGTAATTTTAGTTTTTATAATAGTAAAAATAATTCAAATGATAACATTTTTTAATATGAACATTTTTAAGGCACTTGATACATATTGCAAAATTGCCCTCCAGGAAAGTTGTACCAGTTACACGCCCACGAGCAATGTTCACTTTCATTTTTGAATTCAATCCAATTTTGTTTTAGTCTGCTCATATTTCTAATCTTGTTGTATCCCTTTTTATTATTTCTTTGGGGTTCCAACACCTCCTAGTTTAGTGTTCTCATTGAATTTCATTAGCAGCTGTTTCATTAGTAGCACAGAAGAAGGATTAAAGTGTTAACCAGGATAGACTTTGACAAAAACCTATAAAAATGTGTGTTATTATGTTTGCATAAATGCTATTTAATCAAAGTTCCTCAGAAACCTTTCTTTGCTACTTACCTTAAGGGACAGAACTGGCCACTGATGATATTCTAGACCTTGGGGTGTGTAGTCCTGTCTCAGTGGGAATGGCACATTCGAGATGTATCTGGATTCATGTCATAACGAGGCTTAATGAAGTTCCACGTAGGTTCAGATCCATTCACTGCCCTTTACTTTCACTCCAGCAAGGAACCCACCTTTAGTTTGGGCCCTTGATTACATGGTATACACACAGATTTCTTGTGTTGTGAAATATCTTCCAGAATAGGTATATTCTGGAAGAATTGTGAATGCATCTTTTTTTCTGTACTTGAATCCCATTTTAAATGCACTGAGGATATGACCAAGGTAGACTTTTGGTAAAATAAAGAGTCACTCCCTCCTTTTTTCTTTTGTTTTATGGACAAAATGTCACATATTAAATTTGGTTAATTAGGTACATGCATATTCCCACTTTCTGTTATCTCTACTAATAGATGACTAATGCAAAATATTGAATAATTTTTTAAGTCAATACTTAATTTTTTAGAAATAATTAGAGAGAAACTCAGCTCGGACATAAATACCCCACTCAGTTCCTGGGCCTTCTTCTGTTAGAGGATAATCTATAAATAATTCACGAAGCTGACATTACTCACTGTATTGTGATCATTTTTTCTGGGAAAATTTTAGCAACTGTTCTAATATAGATTGCTAGTTATCAGTAGTTGGGAATGCAAGTCAACTTTTAATTATGCAGAGGCTGATTATTCAGACTACAAACTGTTCATGCCCTGTACTGCTCCTTCCTGCTGCCTACCTTTTAGCATTTTCACTGCTCATTAGTGCATCTACCAGAAAGTAGGCCTTAGACAAGGGAGGAGAAAGGAGAGGAAACTAAAATCAGATAAGCACCAAGGAGAAGCTCTGATGAAAGATTTCAATACAATTTGTAGAATTGTTGACTAAAATTGAGTCATTTGGATTCCCTGTGAATTTTGTTTACTTCTTCTCTTCTTGTCCTCCATAGCAACAGATAACAGAATTTTCTGCAGAGAGACATTATTCCTATATTTAATGTTTTCCTTTCTAGAACATTTTCACATGCTGGTTCATATTTTCTTTATTCATTATGTTTGTACCTAAACTGCTTTATCTCTTTGGTAATTGGTGTATTGAGATTCCTGGCATCTTATACAGTGGTACCAAAATTATCTGATGGTTTTTCGGTTTTCCAGAAAACTGAAGGTTTCTCTTTAAGTACCAGTATTTTTCATATTTTAACCAGTTTTGTTGGAAATATGATTTCCTCATGCTTAAACCGAGGCTACTGAACGCAGTTTAAGTGTTTCTGGATGCCCAAGGCTCTCTCTGTTGTGCATACTCCTAAGATATGTATGGCTGTCACAAAAACCTGTGAGAGCATGCTGTCAGTTTAGGAATCCCTGGTTAAGTATGCTATAGTCATAGTAAAACTTGAGTGGTGCTAATGTTTTTGTCTGCCCTAGGGCTGTTGTTATATAAGTTTTCTGCCTCCTTCTCCAGTCTGTCACCTGTCTCTTTTGCAACTTTCAGAAAACTTGCCTCTTATTAGTTCTGTTTCTGGACTGTTATAGGCTGAGAGACTGAAGAACCAAGCCATTTAGATCTGTGGCTAAGATAAGAGCGAGAAGGCCTGCACAAGAGTACAAAGATTCATATATGAATATAAGTGCATGAGCTTTGGTGCAGAAATAGCCTCATTGCTTAGAGGCCTTTTTCTTCTCTCCTTCCTAATTTTCAATCGTGTAGTTAAATTGCTGGTTAATTGTGTTTCAAAGAAGAGATTGTTTGGGACATGAGAGTGTCTCGAATAGGGCTAGTCCAGAGAGTTTTTTTCAATAACTACTGCTGCTGGATTTCCCATAAAGTTGGGACAAAGGGCAGAATGAACAGGTAAACATAAGGAATATTGATTTTTAAAAATATATTATAAACCTATTTAGTTTGGGATAGTAATTAGATTATTTGTTCTATTAACCAATCAAAGATCAGTTAAACCAAAGCATTTGGACTATAAAAAAGTCTTTGGGAAATAACCTCAACAGGTAGTCTGGTTTCTGTGTCCTCTGAACATTATGAAACTGTCTATCTAGAAAGCTCCCTACTGATAATTCCTTTTTTATTATTTTTTATAAATTCTAATCTCTGGGTTTTTTGTGGTATTGAGACACAGTGGTTAGGTTCCAGGATTCTGGTGGACTTTTTCTGTATTCGTTCGCTTTGCTTCCTGGGGACCAGAGTTTGCTGTGAGTCATGTTCCATCTGATTTATGTTGGATCCGGCTGTGGAGCTATGACTCAGATGGGCTACAGGCCTGATTGCCCAGCTCATCTTCTGAGGAACGGATGGCGAGGCCAGGATTAATGTCCTGACACATTTTTCCTTTTTCCTCTTGCGCTTTCAGGATCTAAAGAGGACATCATTACCGACTGCAGGCAGGTACGCCTTGCCACAGGCCTCTTCCCTGTTGTCAGTCTCCTGAACCATTCCTGCAGCCCCAACACCAGTGTGTCTTTCGTTGGCACTGTCGCCACCATTCGGGCATCACAGCAGATTAGAAAAGGGCAAGAGATTCTCCACTGCTATGGTGAGCCATCCCTCCTCAGTGCTGCCCACCTTCTCCAGCAAAAAAGGGACAGGGTGAGTTAGAATGAGCAGACCATGGGGCAAGTGCCTTCACCTGTCCAGGATTTGTTTCCTGGAAGAGGCAGTGCACATTTAAGCAAAAAAAAAGGCCTCCTTACTAGGCCCCATTGTGTCGAAACTATCATGTATCTCACTGCTTAACCCCCATAAACTTCCTGTTCCAAAAATGGAGTAGGAACGACTTTTGGCTTCTTGCTCCTCCTGTCCCTGCAACTTGGAAGCTTATTTCTGTGTCTAGTTCCACAAATGTTTGAGTAAAGGGTACCTGTCACAGGATCAGTAGTTGACCAGACCCTCTGCTAACCTAAAGTTCTTGAAGTAGTGCTTCACTCTCGCGCTTTAAATATTGGCCAAGTGTGTTCTCTCGCAGGGCCTCATGAGAGCAGGATGGGTGTTGCTGAGAGGCAGCGGAAGCTGAGGTCTCAGTATTTCTTTGACTGCACCTGCCCAGCTTGTCAACATGAGAAGCACAGAGCCACGGCAGGGCCCAGGTGGGAAGCATTCTGTTGTCGCAGTTGCAGAGCGCTCATGCAGGTGAATCTCTCTTCTCCTTTCTCTTCTCCACTTCCCCTGCCAGTCAGTTGTCCAGCCCAAAGGCCACAAATCTTTAGGAGGAAGCCATCAGGGCGTATAGGTGCTGAGAGCAGTACTCTCTCTTCCCTTTCAGCCCATCTTCCCCACACATTGATTACCCCTCCACAGGAACTGCAGGGAAAGATTGAATTTAGAAATCTTTCTCTTGCAAAATAACAGAAAATCCAACCTAAACTGATTTAAGCAGGAAAAAAAAGAGTGAGAATTTATTTGCTCAAGTAAATCACTAAAAGGTCCCAGGAAGGGAGTACTTCAGATACAACTTGATCCAGGGGCTCAGATAATGTCACCGAGATCCCATTTTTCTGTCTGCCTCCCTCAGTTCCATTTTCTCTGTTAGCCCTTCCCTCTTGTGGGGGTAAGACAGCTGCCAGCAGCTCCAGCCTCATATCCTCCCAGTCCAGGAGGATAAAACCATGTGCTACTCTAACAGCAGGCTGGGCAAAAATTTTGTTGTGTTTCGTTGACCCCATACCTGTGGCTGGAGGAAAATCAAGAGTCACATAGTTTTCCTCCGGCCATTTGGGCCCGAGGAATGGGCCAGATCTGAGCCACGTGCCCACCCTCTTAGCGTCCAGGTACTGACTATGGGAGGGTGGGAGAGGATCCTCAGGAGAAATCAGGTTACTACTGCCGAATAGATACAGGTGTCTGAAAAACAACAAATGTCCACCTCAGAGATTTTCTCCTCTGCCAGAGGATACAGTTTTCTTAGGGAACCATAAATGGAATGTAGAGCTGGCTGTGTGGGAAAGCTGAAGTGTAAATCCTGGGTCATATGTAGGGAGGCCTCACCTTGCATCTTTTCCTGTTGGTTTTTTTATGGCTTTTTCATAACCACTAGAAATGTGTCTGTCATCCAAAGTCCTGGCTCCAAAGAGAGCTAAGAGAGGGGTTGTAAAGACGGAAATAAATTGTGGACTATACCAGTTTAAATTTGGTTGCAAAAATTAAATCCCAGGGTGGGATCGGCTGCTGCTTTCCTTAGATTTGCTGTTGTCAAGCCAGGTTCAGTCAGGCTTTGGTCATGGTGTTATTGCAGGAGTCTCTTTCCCCCATAGGGTCAGAAGCTATGGCGCGATCCTATAATGTAATAAGCACGTGCAGTGTTGCTAACCAACTCTGGTACAGGAATAAAGACAAAACTGACTTCCACAGGGTGATGATGTGCTGAGCTGTGGCAACACATCTTGTATGGAATCAGTCAGCAGGGATCATCTAGTCTCTCGGTTACAAGACCTTCAACAGCAGGTTGGGATGGCCCGGAAGCTTCTCAGAAATGGCAAGCTAGGTGAGACTGGCTCCCTGCTTTGGTCCTCCAGCCCCTTTTCCTTTATTCATCCTGAGATCACCTTGGACTCACAGATACTCAGTGATGATTGAAGAACTGAATTGAATTATCCCCACGCCAGCCACAAGATGGCTGTGTAGGCCAGTGAGACCAAACCCCAACCAGCTCAGTTTGGTGTCCTTGCAAAAGGGCCAGATGACTGAAGCTGTTGTTCTCTTGTGCATCAGATAGCTGAGTTCAAGTCCCCCATGACGACTAAAGGGTTATCTCTGACATCCACGATCTGTGTGCAGATCCAGAAGTTCAGTGTCATTTATTTTAGTTCCAGAACCTAGTGACCTAATTTCCTAGAGAGGTTGTTCTGCCCCCATCAGAGCCTCATCTCTCTTCTAGAGAGCGGTGGGACAGGTGCCCAATGGATATAAGTATCCTGCTTTTTCCAGAGAGGGAGTTGTGCAACTCCTCATTACCCTTGAACACTCTGCCTTAGAGCTTGACGTTGTGGGAAGTTATTTACCCTACTTGATGAAAAGTCAACCTTTAGCTTAGATTTCTGAGTCAAGAGAAAAAATGGCCATAAATGAAATGTAGTCGTCCCACTTCAAACTAAAGTTGGGAACACAGAGTAAATGTGGGGAGGCCTCATCTAGCACCTTTTTCTATTCAAAGAGAAAACATAAGAGAACACCAGCTTTTTTTTTTTTTTTTTTATTTTTTTTTTTTTTTTTTTTGTGAGGAAGATCAGCCCTGAGCTAACATCTGCCAGTCCTCCTCTTTTTGCTGAGGAAGACTGGCCCTGAGCTAACATCCGTGCCCACCTTCCTCTACTTTATGTGGGAGGCGGCCTCAGCATGGCCTGACAAGCGGTGCGTCGGTGTGCGCCCGGGATCCGAACCCAGGCCGCCAGCAGTGGAGCGCGTGCACTTAACCGCTATGCCACGGGGCCGGCCCCAGAACAACAGCTTTATTGGAACAAACATCATGGGTTGGTCACAACCCAAGGAGACATTGTGGGGTTTCCACATTCAGCCCAGCCAATGTAGAATTTAAGAGCCAAGTTCTCATTTCTAGGACTAGGTTTGTGTCTGTAATGAGGCCACTTTCCTTTGAATTGATAGAGCAAGCCATTCAGCTGTTGTTGGGGTGCCAGCAGGATGCTGAGAGCTTCCTGTCAGCAGAACACAGCGTGGTGGGAGAAATCGAGGATGACCTGGCCCAGGCCTACGCTGCCTTAGGTATGACGTGTCTTCATTTTCTGCTCCAAGAGACAAGTCTGCCTTGTGTGTTTGGTCATGACCCTGGCCTCATCTGGTTGGTTATCTCAGTCTTTCAACTGAGGCTGCTCTCCCTTCCATTTAGCTTTCCTAACCCTGAAAATGTTCATCCAAAGTTTATTGTGGTTCTTTTCTGGAACCAGATTTTTCTTTCTTTGCAGGGGACTGGCAAAAGTCAGCTACTCATCTACAGAAGAGTCTCCAAGTGGTTAAGGTTCGCCATGGGCCATCCAGTGTTGAAATGGGCCATGAGCTCTTCAAACTGGCCCAAATCTTTTTCAATGGGTAAGTCTTTCTCTTGCTTCCTAGCACTTCGCCAGGCCACACACTCTTCTGTCTTTTACTAGGCTCTTCTGTGTATTACTCTTTTTCTGTGGTGCTTTTGAGCATGTTGAAACTTCTTTATTTCCCCTTTTGGAGAGATCCTTTCCTTCTGTTTTACTGACGAACTTGAAGCGTTAGAATTTCCTCCTGAGAGATATAGGAAAGCTCTTAGCTCTGAAGGGAGTTTCTGAGGGAGAGCTTGCCAAGCGGCCCCACACCCGCCATCATAGCGGTTCTTCTCAGTCCTCACCGTTAGCCACCTCCCTCGTGCTCCATTCTCAGCACCCTCAACTCCGGGCGCTCTTCCTTCTCCCTAGTCCTATTCCTTTTAAAGCCCTTGTTTTCAGCCATGAGTGATTTTGCCCCCAGGGGACATTTGTCAATGTCTGGAGACATTTTCGATTGTCATGACTCAGGGTGGAGGCCAGAGATGCTGCTAAACATCCTACAATGCACAGGACAGCCCACTACGGGTAAGAATTATCTAGCCCAAAATGTCAGTAGTGTCAAGGTTGAGAAACCCTGCTTTAAAGGTGAGAAGGAGTGAACAGTAGGGCTGGTGAGTTGATACCTCATCCACTTTTGCAACTGAGATCACTGGGAGGCCCTAATTTCAGTATTTCTAGATGGAATACCTCCAGCCTTGATAGAGCTGCCACTGGTATACATAGGTGTGAGAAAGTGTTTGAAGCTTGATCCTAAGATTATGAATGGTGGTGGACCTGAGACCCGAGACACAGAGGCAGTCCATTTGGTCAGAGAGAGAAAAGGACTGCAAAGTTAGGTCACAGGGGGACTTGGTTACCCTGAGATGAAGACTCCTGAGTAAATATCAGATTAATGCTTTGAGATTTGCCTGTTTCTCAGGATCCTGGAATCTTTATACTTTTTTTCATAACTTTGTTCTCAAACTCTGCCTTGCGTTGTGTTTGTGAAAGTGTCTTATCTGCCCTTCTAGATTGTAAGATCCTTGAGGACAAAAATGATCTACTTCATATTCTTCCGGGGCATAGTAGGCCCTCAGTTAACGTGTGCTTGACTGAATGAGTGGATTCACTCCTCTTACGTCCTTTGGTGCAGGTTTGCAGTGCCCGAAGCTCTGAACACAATACGAAAGGCAGAAAAGGTTCTGTTGGTGCACTATGGCCCTTGGAATGATGAGATCCAGGAGCTACAAAAGATGAAATCCTGTTTATTGGATTTGCCGCCTGTCCCTGTGGGACCTTCGGTGTAGGATCCCAAGGGGACTTTGAACCACAGGAAAGGAGCCCATGTGGGATGAGTTAAAGAGGTTCTGCTGCTGCTGAGTTGTCGCCAGGAAATACAGGACTTGCCTGACAGTCACAGGCCTAGTGTATGAAGGGTGGGGGACTCAAAATCACTGCAGTTGGCGAGAGGCTCACCTATTGTGATGAATGTTCCTCGCAATAGTTAACTGCCCTCCAATAAAAACTCCCAGTACTCAGAAAAGACTTGAAACTAGTATCTGGAGAGCCTAATCCCTTTAAAAGGATTTTAGCTGATCTGCAGGCATCTGGATGTTAGCCTGGGGTTTTGGCTAGACGCCACCTTACTAAATGATGATAGTCTCTTTCCCTGGAACATTCCTATGGTTTCTAGTAGTAATGAAATGTTGTGCACCACTCCAGTGGGAACTTACACTCTTAGTAGTTGTATTGTAATTGAAAAATAATTATAGGGCCGGCTCCGTGGCTTAGCGGTTAAGTGCGCGCACTCTGATGCTGGCGGCCGGGGTTCGGATCCCGGGCACGCCCCAAGGCACCACTTCTCCGTCCAACCCGAGGCCGAGTCCCACGTACAGCAACTAGAAGGATGTGAACCTATGACATACAACTATCTACTGGGGCTTTGGGGGGAAAAAAATGAATAAATAAAATCTTTAAAAAAAAAAAAAGAAAAGAAAAATAATTATAAAGCAAGAAATCAGTGAGGAGAAATCCATACCTCTAGAGACACAGTTTCACTTATGATATCTAGCTTCCTCAAATCCTTTGTTAAAACTGGTAGAGTGTAAATTGTGAATAGAGAAATAAATATGGGGCCATCTTATTGTTGGGCAGGTTCTTCCTAGGATGGCAACTCTCAATTTGTTTTCTACCGTTTTTCCAGTCCTTATTACCCGGCTTTAATCTATACTCTTGGCAGACTCATGACCAAACACTACTAAAATTAAGCTCGTTAGCAGTGACTTCATAACACACGTGCCTCCTTTCAGAGTTCTGTTTATTAGCAAGCCTGAAAAGAGACTACTTTTTTCTACCAGATCTCCCCAAGCTGGCAAATGAAATATAGATGGTATGAGTATTGAGAATGGGGAAAAACTTCAGAGGATGCTGAGGGGCTGGGCATTGCCAGACCCAAGACATGCCCATTGGTTGCCACGGCATTATAGTCGAGAAACGAATAGCCCTGAAGATGCCTGGCAGTAGCTTTTCAGGAAGCCGAGTGTTCGGAACACAGTTCGCATTCAAACTCTTGAATGAAGAACAGGCAGAATCTCATTTATCCTCCTTTCTACTAACTCACGGTGGCAAGGCAATAGCCAATGAGATTTTTTGGTAGAGCTAACTTTTTCAAGTAGAAAAATTTTGAGCTGTGGACAATTCTATAGTTTCTCTGTTCCAAACACTTGGCATGTTTCATGTTCCTAAAAGAGGTCCTGTTGTACTCTGTAAAATAGGCATACTTCCTTAGAAAGAATATGTTTGGAATTTTTACATATCAGGTCCAATTTAATGTGTACTCGAGAGCGTTCTTTAAGTGCTTTGTAAAATAAAGAATTATTTCCTGAAGTTACAAATTATCTCCCTTATCTGTCCGTGTGTTATCCTATGTTGTCAGGTGACATTTGCCTGACTGGGCAATATCTGTACCTGCATTAAAACCTAAAGTCTGGTTTGTGTAAGAGTGTGCTCCACCGATTGTGGGGGCAGGAGATGCCCTCCTGGGGGCATTAGTGGTCCTAGTACATAAATACTCCCAGAGCAGAGAATCAGTCCCTGTATTATGCAGTGCGGATAACTAAAGGTTCTCATACATGGTGACTCTCTGCAGAGTTTAGATACACCCAAGCTGTAATTACAGGACCAGCAGATTCCTGAAGGGCTATTTATCTTCATATTAAACTTAACATAGCTCAAAATAGGAGGAGAAACAGTGTAACAAAAGATGAGGATAAAGCACTTTTATTGAAAAGTATACATTGAAACATTATAGGGGCAGCCTTCACATAATATATAATCTGCCATCCTCCTGGGGTTTTCTTCATCTAGGGTACTTGAACATAAAGTGGAGCATTAAGTGCCCCTGGGGTCCAGAATTTTGCCTATGAAGAGAAGGGCCCCTGTGTCCGTGTCCCTCAGTACAAAGATGAAAGGTTGGTTAAGGTGATAGTCTAGGGGGAAGGTGAGGTGGGGCCCTGGGCTGGGGTTGGTGCCTGCCCCATCCTCATTCCACTCGAGGCCAGTGCGATGTTCCACTTGAGTGAGTTTGAGAGGTTTGCCTGTGATCTTGCTAAAGTCTGGTGAATCAAACAAGGATTGCAGCTCTGCAGAGATTGAGAGAGATTTCCATTAAAACCCTGCCTTGTCCAACACCCAAAGGAAGAATACAATCCTAATTCTTAAATCCTGATTCTCAAGAAGGCAAGTAAGCTGGGATTGGAACACCACTTGGACCTTCCATGAGGTATGTAGAGCTCTGGGCTGGTTAAGGGTTAAGAGACTTGCCCAAGAGCATACAGCAAGTGAGGTTAAGATCAGAAACCAGGGGCTGGCCCTGTGGTGTAGCAGTTAAGTGCGTGTGCTCCGCTTCAGTGGCCCAGGGTTCACAGGTTCAGATCCCGGGCGCGCACTGACGCACCGCTTGTCAGGCCATGCTGTGGCGGTGTCCCGTATAAAATATAGGAAGATGGGCACAGGCCCCATCTTCCTTGGGAAAAAGAGGAGTGGCCAGCCATAAAAAAAGACAAAATCATCCCATTTGCAACAACATGGATGGGCCTGGAGCGTATTATGTTAAGTGAACTAAGCCAGAAAGAGAAAGACACTGTATGATCTCACTCATATGTGGACTATAAACCAACACATGGACAGAGAAAACTGTATTGTGGTTACCAGGGGCAATGGGGGTGGGGGGTAGGCACAAGGGGTGAAGGGAGTCATATATATGGTGATGGACAAACAAAAATGTACAACCCAAAATTTCACAATGTTAAAAACTATTAAAACATCAATAGAAAAAAAAAAGAGGAGTGGCATCAGATGTTAGCTCAGGGCTGATCTTCCTCACAAAAAAAAAAAAGATCAGAAACCAGGTCAACAGTGCTGTCTTAGAGGCAGTGTTCTGAGTTACTGTTATAGGATGTATGCTCATGGGGCTGAGGAATGAGTCTGATAAGGAAGGCAGTTCAATCTCCCCCCACACCGAGCACTATTAAAATTAAGGGATCGGGCCGGCCCCGTGGCTTAGCGGTTAAGTGCGCGCGCTCCGCTACCGGCGGCCCGGGTTCAGATCCCGAGCACGCACCGACGCACCGTTTCTCCGGCCATGCTGAGGCCGTGTCCCACATACAGCAACTAGAAGGATGTGCAACTATGACATACAACTATCTACTGGGGCTTTGGGGAAAAAAAAAA